TCGGGTATATGATAATCTTCCATGTGGGTTAAAATCCGTACCTTTTTAGCCCAGTGGTCGAGTTGTCTGACATATTCTGACAGACAATTAAACATTAATGAACAAGAAAAAAAAATAATAATAATGTTGGAATAAAAAAATTGGCCATTATTTTTTTGAGCCAAAAGCAGAAGTTCCGACCTAGATGGGACTCGAACCCACAACCTCTGGATCCGAAGTCCAACGCGCTATCCATTGCGCCACCAGGCCAAGCTTATTCTCTCATGTATTTTAATTTTATAAATATTTTTTGTATGTAATTAAATTTGTTAGAAACACGATGTTTTAGGTATTGGAATATTTGGGTATTGTCGGTTGTCTCGGTTATATGTAGTGCTTACGATAAGGATCTAAAATTTTAAGTTATAGTTCAGTAATAAAGTAAAACGCGTTATAATAATTATTCGATCAAGATCTATTATGTAATAATCAATTTAAAATACAGAGTGAATAATTAATAATAATAAATAGATAATTTTAATATATGAGTTATATTCTGACAGGCTGTCTAGTGTTCCGCATTTAGTTCAGGTTTAGGATTTAGACTAAATGCAACCTAAATGAACCATTATGTAATGTGGCTTTTCTTAAAAAAATAAAGATGACAGTGATTAAAAATCAATTTTATTTTTTATAAATTTATTTGAAATTCATGAATTTTTTTAATGCACTCTTTGAAATAGAAAGTGCTTCAATACTTTCTGGGCTCAGTCAATTTCTCTTTGGTGTAATGATATTGCCCCCATCTGAAAATGCTCTTTCAGATGCTGTTGAAATTGCTGGAATTGCTAAAATATCTCTTGCAAAATAAGAAAGGTCTGGAAATATTTTTTCATGTTCCTTCCACCTGCAAAATATATGTCTGAAACCACAGACATTTCTGTATAACCTCATAATTAATGTTCACTGGGATTGAATATTTTTTGTTTCTTATAAAGATGCAGTTTAGCTATTTCATCTTCAATATCTTCATCATTCTGTTCTTGTTCTGATGAAACTGGAGTACCATTAAGATACAATTTTCTGTACCAATGTTTAACTTCTTCAAATGCATTTGCTTTATTGATATCATTTTCTTCTTTAGTTTTCTTTGGGTTTGCATAAAAATCAAGATTTAAGTGTGGATCCAAAACCATTGCAGCAATTACCAAATCAGATTGTAGATTGTAGTAACCTCCTAATTTTTCTAAACAAACTCCACTTGCCAATTTTAAATCTTGAATTAAGTTAGTTGAAACTTAAGAGATTATGAAATTTGTTTCTCTTCTTTGTCTTCTATTTTCCAATATCTGATTTTCCATGCTTTCATATTTTTTCTTTAAAGTTTAATAATTAAAATTGGTACTTTCAATAAAATTAAAATGGTAAACCTTTAAGTTTTCTAAATGATCTAGTAAATAATTATACAACAGGAACATACTTGAAAATTTTGGGTAATTTTCTCCATTTACAAGCATTGAAGCAGAATGGAATGGTTTAAGAAATATTCAATTTCCTTAAAATTCTTCCCAATCTGAAAATGAAATTTGTGATAAATCTTTATCTTCCCATAGCATTCTTTGTAAGGTGGGTTTCATTTTCAGACTATGTTTTAGCATTTTTGAAGTATAATTCCATAGTCTGTTTAGCTTTTGCCTGGATATGCAGCAAGGAAACTGAAGCTGGATATGCAGCAATAAGAACTTAGAGTTATCATCAGGAAAATTTGGGATCTATCAAGAATGGGCAATATGTATCTGATAGCAACAATCAGTTATCTGATAGCATCAGAAAAATATAGTCCCTCTCTATTAGGATTCGCGCTCGTTTTCTCTTTCTATTAGTGCAAACCTCATTCAATTTGAACCATTATTCATTGAGATA